AGACACTCAAGAAACCAGGCCCTGTTTCCCACCTTTCCCAGCTTCCCACACAGGAGTGTCTTCACTGAAGAAAATATTTTGCCTACTTCCACACCCTAAAATCTGTGACATTTGAGATGTCCCCATGGGAAATGTCCCCCACTGCAGTGAGTATGTTTGTCATTACATTATAAAGCTAGTGATGCTGTCAAACCAGAACAGCTCTCTTCTTCTTCCATGATGTATTTAGACAGGAATAATAATATATCTATCATTATACACATCAGGGTGATTATCTACAGGGACAGATAATTTTGCTCTGTTGCCTACATAATTAAGGAACACTTCTGGCAGCAAAGGGATCCCAGTTCACATCTTTTCTTACTGAGGCTGTATTATCTTGTTACCTCCTTGAAGATGGTGGTGTCAAAATCATTTTAAGGACTCCAACCCCACCCTCTGACCCCGCTGCACGTTAGTGCATCCCACGCCGTGCACCACCTCCCCTGTACCACACTGCCCATGGGGGCCAGGTTGTAAATCTGCCCTCAAAACTGATCCCTGTTAAAAATAATCTCCCCAAAAATAGAAGAGTGAAGGAGTAAGGGTTACCAGGGTTATTTTTAACCTGCACTGGTTCAATGGTCTGATTTACACCGGCGACCCAGCGGAGGTTTTTTTGGTTGAGCGCGGGTGGCACATCACAGTGTGGAGGAGAAGGAAGGGATGGCTGTGGGCACACGGGATGCTAAGCTGGGCTTTGAGGCTGAAGCCAGCATGTGGTAAAGCCTGGCCTCAAGGACACCACTCAGAAACCAGAATAAAACTATTCAGAAGCAGTGGTAGTAGGAGATTCAAAATAACTACAATGGAGCAGTGTAGTAAAAAATAGAGGAGGGCCAAGAGACCTGCAGACAATTTCATCAACACCCTAAAAATGATCACATCTCTTCTAAACAGCCTTGATCTAGAGCCATAGGTTGGATTCATTGCCCTGTTATTCTGCCCTTCAATAGCTAATATTGTGATTCCACTACTTTTTGAATACCATCTTGCTGAATTTATAATGGTATTTTCAAGAGGCATCTTCCTCAGCTGAGTCCAGACCAATTAAATATAGGCAGTTGGAAACCCTACCCAACTATTTTTAACATTTCATTAAAACCTGAGAATTATAAAGGGACTATGACCCAAAATAAAGAGGTTTTATTTTGTAGCTTGGTTCACTTTGGTTGATCATGGAGTGTGAAATGTTGATATAACGATAACATTTCCCTCCCTCTTCTAAAAGTAAGAGCAAAAGAAAGTGATGAGAAAAAGGTTACTATTTTAGTTGGTACTGGGGATGAAGAAAATATCCTAACCACTGTCTGGTATGCAGAAGGGGAATAAAAATATCACCTTTATAACCCAGCTAACCCAACATCACTTGACATTTGAGACAGATACACAGCTAGTCTGAATTACTGAAACTACTTCTGAGGTTGATTTTTGACACTGAAAACACACACGTAAAATTGTGCTGAGCTAAATGCATCAAAGGACAATAGTGATGGAAATGCCATTTGGAAGCTTCAACTACACATTTACCTACTAAATACTGCAATATTTTAAAACACCAGCACAATTAAGTGGACAGAATTCTTTTCAGTCAGCACTACCCTGTTCCTTTCCCCATATGTTGCTACTAGTATTCAAGAAATCTAACTTCTTAATACCAAGTGTGCTGAATTAATAGATCTCCAACATACTCAATTTCCAGCTTTGAAGGGAATGTTTAACCTAGCATTGCGCTGTACCATTATTTTTAACTCAAGCTGTTGTTTTTTTAGGGTTTTTTTCCATTCAGAACAATATGGTCTACACAAATGACACACTTTTCCTTTAAGTCAAAAACTGCAAAAGCAAACAGATGGAGACACAGACTAAGAAAAGAATTAGAATACCAGAATACAAAAGTTGCTCTTTGAATCCTAGATTCCATGTGGAGCCAGACTCCTGTATTAGCATCTCACTGTAAAGCTCCTATATTTTTATTTACATTCTGCTGCCTTTCACACTACACTGACCCTTGCTGTTTGGAAATCTAAATTCTAGCTCCACTTGTGCAACAAGGAATTACAAATACAGATTTTGGGGTGTATTTTAAACTTCATTTAAACTACTCTTCCATGTACAGAAGGAGGCCTTGTGTTCTAAAGAAGATCTCCTGTAGTTGGAGAAGAAACTCCACGATCCTAGTGCTGATCCCTGTACATCTGTGCATCGCCTTCTGGAGAGCTTGGCAAATTAATGTTTAGGAAAAGGGCATTTAAAGGGAAGCAAAACAGCCTTGTATTTAGAAGAGCATGGTGCTCAGTACTTCCAGTCCCCAAAGGATACCCCCTCGGTAAGGCATCCTACCTTCCTGTTCTTCCTACAGCAGAGAGGAGCAGCACCAAACACGATCCTGAGGAAAGCATGTCCTCAAAACAGCTGAAATAGGATTCCCCAGGAAGAAAATGGAAGAGGCAGAAAGCAAGTTCTACAGCTCAAAATCATCAGCATCATACAGGGCTAATACTGCTAAAAATTGCCCTCCCTCCTCCTACATCCATACTCTAGATAGGAAAAGTTCACCTGCCAGTTTATGAAATTCTTCCCCCAGTGCGCTGGAGAAGGAAGTAGATAATCAGGATTTCCTTAGATATGAAGCATAACTGCCCACAAGGATACTCTTTCCACTTACAGAAACTTATTTTTCTTCAAAATACTTTTAATTAATCTGTTACAAAGTCAAAATTACTTTTATAGCGGTACCCAAGGATTGTGATTTCTGACACCACGCACTGAGAGTTGGCGTCTAAGGACACTCCAGACCTTAACTTGATTTAAATCATGTAATTAAAATGCAGGTTCAGTTTTTCATGCACCAAAGGACTATAACCTACATTCAAACTCAGAAATCAGACATATATTCGCTTATGTAATCACCCAGGGCAGAGAGAGCCAACAATAGTCCTTCAGCATTTGTGGCTGATGCACATCCAGTTTAAAACCTCAACCCTACAAACATTTACATATGAAATAGTTAATCATGCCAATGAAGGAAGCCACTAGTCAAAGTTATGCACACGCCTAAAGCTCTGTAGACTCAGGGCTTAAAAATTTAAGACAATACCTTTGCTCAGAGAAGAAAAACTAGTTTTATGGGAGCACTGTTATTCCTCAAGTGGTGTGTCATTCAACAGAAAGACTTTTCATTGAACTTGAAATTATTTATGCACCTTTTAAGTATGTTTCTGTTGCTTTAGACATCAAGGGTTTGCTGTCATGTATCCTACCAGATGTAATATATGGTGAATATTAATTTTTATATAAAAACCAGTAAATGTAACACATACATATTTGGCTTGTTCATTTACCCCTACACAGTTACCTCTTGCTTTCAGAGAAAAGAAAAATTTTAAAAATCCCACTGCACTCCAACTGAATGGAAGAAAAAAACCCCTCCAAGATAGAAGAGACAAGGAAAATCAAGTATTTCTGTATGAGGTGGGTCACAGGAACTTGTTACAGCACTGTTACAGCTCACAACCTGAACTATCACAAACAATGGCACTAGGAGAGTCGTGGGCACCCAGCCAGTTCAAGAGCACAGGAGGTGGAGTAAGGAACCACTGCCCTCTCTCTCCAATATTCTCCTAAAACTATATTCAAAGCGTGAGGTTTTTTGTACCCCTAGTAGGGGAGATCATCCATGAAGGGACCAAGTATTCCCATGGCTAACACTGACAAATGTGTAAATTAAAGAGGTGTCACACTGAAAATCTCAAAATATCCAATTTAACTAAGATGCTTTAAGACAAAATGACAACTCCTACATTTTATATGCTAGAGAAGAATTAAACACCATCCCCCTCCATCAACCTATCTGTACCTGCTGAACTTTGAAAATGACTGGATTTGAAGATTACAATGCAGTATTTCCAATTAGTTGCTAATACCCCAGGACATCTGCCTTGTACACAAAGTCTGGTTCTGGTTGTTTGGTCCTTCCCTTTTGATAAAGGCTGACAGGTGGAAAAAGCAACTGTCACTGGTTTCACAGAGAAGTTTGTTCAATAATATTTACAAATCAAGAGTTACAAAACCTTGCTGTGGTGCAAACTATCCCCCATCTTACTATTATTTGCACTTGCACTTTCATTTCAAGCATCTGGTCAGTCCTGGACGGACAAAAAACTGGTGTAAATGAATCGTGATTTTGATGTACCACCACAAATCCTCCCCTCAGCCCCCTGGAATAGTGCACAGAGAGAGAAATACCAGCTTTGAAACACTCCTGTACTGCTGCAAGTATAAGGTACTTCGTGGTAATTAATAAAAGTATCTTCTCGGTGTTGAAGAGTTCAGTGTTTGCAAACTACATTTTCATGGGCTTCTGCTACTTAGCCTGGTTGAGATACAGGAGAAATTAATCACAGTGAGTGGGCACAAAGTTATATCATCAACCAAATAATTATCCTTTGTGCATTTACTCTGGGTCTGCTGGCACCTTGAATGATTAACTAGGGCTGGGAGGGCTGAGGCAAGGACGTGTGCGTGGAGCCTCTGTAGAGAGTCTGGCTGACACAGAGCCTGAATCAGCAAGAAAACTCCACTGTTCTTCCAGAGGGGAGAGATTCAGTATCACTAAACACCAGCTAATCACCAACAGAGGGCTGAGTGTATTTTCACTCCTTCTGGGCAGGGCAATTCCTGACCCAAACTCTACACACAGCACCGTCCCTCTTAACCCTGTAGCTGAGAATTTCACAGAGCACAAAAGGCACAGAGAAGCAGACAAGGGTCTCTGCATTCCTAAAGCATCAGTTGAATTCTGGCTGTGTCCTTACACACTTACTTGAGTAGCAGTGACCAAAGGCACCTCCTGCAGTAATTCCCAAAGAGCAGCCCACTCTTTTGGGGCAATATTTACTCCAGTGCAGTGAAACACAATCATCTGCAGAAAGGCCTGGCCGCAGCCAGGAGTTACTCACCGGTGGGAAATCAAAGTCTATCTGGTTGGCTAAATTTAAGATGTAGTCGATTCGAAACTGGTTCTCTGGGTTGGCTAGTTCCACTGGAGGGGCCAAATTGCCCATTGCTGTGACTATTGTCTGCAAAGACAAAAAAGTAAAATGCTGCAGAAAGTGTCTAAATAGCCACTTTGAATAAGTAAAAACAATGGCTCCTGAGCTTACCTCTATAGCTTCTTTAATATTGTTTTTAATATCCTGGATTTTCATTTTCTTCTCCCTGTAATGAAAAGGTACTTTATTAAATTCAGAAGTCACAGAAGCTGAACACCTTTTTAAAACCAAACCTGAATTTGAAAAATACTCTACTGAAACTTTGTTGTCCCTGTTGACTGAAGTGCTTTCAGTCACTGAAGACTTTTATAGAGACTTGATTAAATATCTCAAAACTTCTCTACTTTACAGTAGCAGCATCTATTTGCATCCAAAAATCAGCATCTAATTATGCCTAAATAAAATGTATTGCAGCCTTAGACTGGGATTAAGACATTCTGCAAAATCAAACAGATTTTGATTCTCTTGAATGCAAACACTACACCGGAATGAAAGTTCTTTAGAAATGTATACACCAGAAACAAACAGAAAAAAAAATAGGATAAGTTATTAAAAGCAGAAATAAATGAAAGGAGACCAAAGAACTTCAAAGTACAAAAAAAATTAAAGCATTAAAGCACAAAATGATGCCACAGCAAAACATGTACAGAGAGCAGAGAGCTCAATCTGACAGAGACATTCAAAGCAACAGTTTGGATACAAAATCTAAAATAAACAGTAAAGGGTTAATCCAAGTATGTAAAATTACCTCAACTACAAGGAGAAGAATAGGTTAGAAAACCACTTGGAATGAGCACTATCATTTGGGATTAACTGCAGTCAAATTAACAAGCCTAACAGGCTGAAGCAAGAGTGCAAACCATTGCTCTGCTGCATTTTTATTGGATTTAGTGTCAAATCTGACAACAGCTACTTCCAGTGCTAAATAGTGCAGTTCAGTGAAATGCATAATCCAACATTTGGTATAACCAGGAATTAGCACCCTCAAAGCATTACTAGCATTGTAACTTAATTGCAAGGCACTATGACAAAAATTTTACATTATTAATTTCTTGCTGTACACAGCTTAAAATTATTAGTTTGAGGTAAACCAAGTTAGTCATGTCATTACTAAAATAACCCAGTTGAATTGTCTAAGTGACCTTTTAATCTTCATTAAACTGCTTTTATAAAACACTTCAATTATCCGAGTATTTATACCAACTTTTATTTTTTTTTTTGTCCTTTTGAAAAATAACGTTTTTCAACTCAGGATCCCAAAAACTTTGAACTACCAACAGCACGTTTCCTTTTTTCACCCTTTTAAAGGTAGTAACTCACACTTTTGGCTTAAAGACCACAGCTTGAATATCTCACTTTACTTAGTTAATTCAGTAAACGTATTGCAGAGGCTTTTTGTCACTTTTTCCTTCCTATAATTATTCACAACCAACAACCAAAACGAAACTGAAAGCACATTCACCCATCAGGAATGCAGAAGAACAGCAGTAAAAAAAAAAAAAATTTAAAAAAACTACTGCTTAAATAACAAGGCAGACGCAGACATCCAGGAATGGTGAGAATTCTGGTTATCAAATGAAAAATTAATGCAACTTCTTTAAAAGACAGGGTTGAGGAAACTCCCCCCCCCTCCCCGTGGCAGCCGCACGTTCCGCTGCCTTTCAGGCACAGGCGTGGAGGATCCGATCCTACATTCCCCACTTGTGACAGAATGATTGCAATGCCAGTGCTGCTCTTACACATGGAAAGCAAACAGCAGCATCAAATCATCTGGTTCGGGATGACTTGGCTGTGGAGAGGACGGGTCTGAATCAGCAGCAGAGCTCTACCAACAGAAACAGGATTATCCCCAAACATCAGCTCCTCGTTGCTGGCCACGTACCCTCCACAGTGTGGGGAGGAAGATCAGGGGAGTCTGATACAGCGAGAAAATGAAATTATCGATAATCAGATGGAAATTCTTGGGTTTCCCTCGACTTCTTCACCTACCTACAGACCACCTTATTCCTCAAGACTACCCGTTTTTTGCTTTACACATTTGGCACCACTGATGAGAACAAGGTAGTGACCCAAGAAAAGTCAAAAGCACCAAATTAAGGAAAGTAAATAAGACAGGAAAAGAGAGGAAAAACTGAGGGCTTTTCTCCCTCTTCCTTCCTATTCTCAGTGCTTTCTAGGTCTTAGGAAACTCTCTATTCCCCAACCAAGACTTAGGGCAGGTGCAGAATTCCTGTATTTTTCAGTTGGTACACATACGGTTGCAAACCTGTCACTCACTTTGTTTTTAAAAATCATGTTTCATTATTAAAAATATGTAAATAGTGGCATGAAAGCAGGAAATGTTTATCAATGAGAGTGTAAGGAATTTGTCTGGCTTTATTTTGCCTCCAGTTTTCAGCTGGATCTTCAACTTAATGAACATGTAACCGGATTGTGCCCCGTTGAGATCAAAAGGGCAATGGATATGCTGAAAGCCAAACAAGGTATCAGTATTTTTAAAGAATTATCAGTCATTTTGCTTCAGTTTGGAACATCATTAGAAAGACAGAAGTTTAGGAAGTTCTATTGTTTTTGTTATGAAGCAAATTGTAGTTATTCTCTCTCCCCTGGAACACTTTGGATTAACTGTCTCAAAGCATCAGTGAGGTGCACATTTACCTGAATCTACAATAAAGCACATTATTTTTATTATAGGTTTCAGTCAAACTTCCACATTTACACCTCTTGGCTGATCCTCATGCCCCTAACGGCACTGCAAAGTGATAATGAATACGGAGAAACATTAAACTCCAGCAATTAACAAACTGCTCGATAACCATCATCATCTTTACAACAAGGATACTCATAGTTCCTATTTCTGGTGGTGTTGCCATGGCCCTATAGCCTGCCCAGTAAACAAGGAATCCTATTACACAGCAGTGAATGTATCACTGCGTTTTGTGTTTTGTAATGTTTACTAGGCATAAACTTTCCATGACAATGAGACACTTTATTCTTCTGGAACTAAAGGTGTTCATCAATCACCCATCCAACAGCAGCTTAAATACAACTGTAACTTCTCACCAAGAAAAAAAAACCCCAAAACTAAGGTGACATTCATTTTACTCAAGGACTGATGAGATGCAGCACACAAAAACTACAAACCTTTGCCTTCCCAGAATGTTGTTTTCGTTTTTGTTTTTTTTCCAGAAATCCCAGCCAGGTTGCACCTCAAATTTCCAAAAGTACTTTATTTTCCCCAACTTAGAAGCAGATTCTTGCTTTTTAAATTTCTTATTCCCAGGTGCTGGATATAAAAACTACAAAAGAAAAAAAGCTAGGTTCCCAAAATGTTTTCCTCTGGAAGATCCCAAGGAGACCAGGAATGGCACTGTGCTACCCTGGCTAACAGAAGACTGATGTCTCTGCAGGCCTGTTCTGTATCTTTAGATGCCGTGGGTTAATAAGGTCATATTTTTAATCTTGTTTAAAACTTTTGCTTAGGCTGTGTAGGGTAGGCCAAACAAAGCATTAAACTCTATTAGTTGAGGATTAGAAGAAAAATCTCAAATCCCGCTGTTTTCAATATTTAAATGGGCCAGAGCAAGGCTGCACATAGCTTTCAGGAAAACTAATAAAGTCTATTTTAGGTACTATTAGAAAAAAAAAAAGATGACATTTTAATTCAAGTAACATTAAATTAGAATGACATAAAAGGTCAAGAAAATCAAATATTCCTTGAAAACCAACCTAATCAGTATTTAGTAAAGAACTTCTCCACCTGTGGTTGAGTTTTACTTTTAAAAAGGCAACATTTTTACTCAGACTTTATCAAATCTAACGCAAAGAACACATTACCAAACAGATTGTCAGAGAGCAAACTAATTTAATTCTAATGTTCATTTTTGGTTTACCAAAATTTTCCAGATAATATGAATAACCATTAATTGGAGAAAAACATATAAAGTTTAAAAAGAACATTCCAGAGGATGAGGATTCAGTTCACCCTGAATGCTTCTACATCTCACAGGTAGAAAAATAATTTTTAAAAAAGGCGCTGAAATGAATGGCCAAAAAAAGTATGTTAAAGAATTGAGGGGGAATGCAGATGGACAAATGGGGGATGAGAGGACACAATCCCTTTGTGACATTAATCTAAATTTCTAAAAGCAAAAAAGTTTGAATTCTTGGTCACTGCTGACAGGTTAAGAAGTCCAATGCCTTCTTGGAAAGTCCTGTAGCTCTGGAAAGGACATAGAGCCTATTTTAATAGGGGATATTAAAATGTAATCACATAGTTCTTTACAAGGTTGTAAACAGCCCAGCTTCCATCACCTCCAGTGATCGGTGTCACGCAGAAATTACCTTTATTCCTGAAGCACTGTCAAACTTCCCTCACTCCCAAACCTGCTGACACAACGACTCCAGGGAGTGCAAAGCTTCCCTTCCCTGTGCAAAGCACTGCAGTTCAGTGAGTCAGTTCACAAGTGCCAGAGCCAGAAGAAAAAAATCTTACAAAACAATCCCTATGCTTCTGGGCTTTTTATAGGAGAAAACGTGTAGCACACACGTGCACCTCCCTGTTTTCAGGTATTGCCAACAAATGGGAATGCACAGGGAAGTAGCCAAGGGTTCTTGCTCACCTTCAAAGGCCCATCATAATTCCACACTGAAGCCAACGACAAGTTAATAGATCAATTTTGTTTTAAAACACAATTCAGTTCTTTGACAGGCAGTCATGCACTTCACAGGCATGTGAGCTTTAAACATGTCTATCAGTCTAAATACGGTGTCTCTGATGCAGTGAAACATCTGATGGATTTCATAAATATTCCATGAAATCTGCATTAAAATTTGTTTACTGCACCTTATGGAAGTTAGCAGAAAAGCAAACAGCACTACCTGCCAATCCACCTCAGAGAAACAGAGCTGTGCAGTCGAGATCTTCACACACGAGACCACGAGCAAGGAAATTCAATTAAGGTTTTGCTACCAATCCACATTACAAAAATCCCGCAGTACTTCACAATTCAACAAAGAGATAAATTTGGGTCAGCAGCCTGAGTTATTTCTAACAGAACATGCAATTACCTCAAAATATAACAGCTAGAACGGCAAACAGGGCAGAGGCCAAGTTAGAGGCACTTGAAAATGGGGAAAACTAGTTGCCTAGAGTATTCAGGGTGA